CATGACTTACCCTAGGCCCATTGGACATTGGAGCCATCCTAAGGGAATACCTTGGGGCCTTAAAGCCTACCAAAAGAGAGTACTTTAGGGGATTAAGAGCTTACCCAAGGCAGCATCTCGGGGCCTAAGAGCCTACCCAAATGTCACCTTAGGCCTGTAAGGAATTACCAGCTTGATCACAGTTGAACTGCAAAACTCCGTAATACATCCTAATAAAAATTAGATTAACAATAACCATTAATATCAAAAATTAGAAACCATATGTATTTTTATCAGAAAACAGAAATTATAGATCAAGATTTTATTTCATACATTTAAAATTAAAGAAAACATTAATGTGCATAAAGAATATACTAGAGGATTCAAATATTTTTCAAAGGCACTTGGAAGCTATCTACAATAGAGAATATGAAACTTATGTATATCAATTGGATTTTAGGAATGAGGTCCCTATTAAAAAGGTTTCGATTACTAATGGATTTAATCAAACATTTCGAACTTGATGCTTCATCACCATTAAGGATTCGGGTGCATCATAAAGGAATTCTGCAACCTTACATAAGAATTACTGAAGATTCAGGTATAACCAGAGTAATTCCATAATTTAGGCCATCAAAGGTATTTTAGTCATTTTGCTTCAGGGAGAATTCCTTAGTAAAAGTTTACCTAATAAGGGTAAAATGATAATTCATAATAAGACAAAATTATACCAAATTATCAAGATTTCAAGTAAAATCGAATTAAACAAATCTCAACACTACGATACTTGTCAATCGTTCGTATCGATATACTTCAAGAATATTCACTTCTTAATATTGACAGCACTAGTCTAATTAATCACCATCAAAACACTATTGAACAGATCTCGAGGGTAAACTACATCAGATACCACTGAATTTTTAAAAATAAAAATAAAATAAAACTCATATCAGAATTCACCTCTAAATTCTAATGAAATTTTTATTTTAATTTTATTTTTTGGAGACATATTTGTTATTTCTTGATTTCTTTTAAAAAATTAGACACTAGGGTGACCAAAGAAACTTCGAACATGTGGAGATCATAATTACCTTGATTTTATAGAGTAGTATCTAATAGGAATTGACAGTGTAAATCGATATTTCTATTTTTTCATAAGGCCAGGTTTATGTGGAATTTACTTTCCTATATCAGGTTATATTCACTAAAAATGTTTCTCTTAATTAGATAACTATTTTTTATTTTTAAATTATATAGTTTTATGATAGTTTATAAACTATTTTTAATTTCATAATTTTTAAATTTTATTTTTTATAAGTTTTTATAAATATTTATTTAATTCATCTTTATAATTTTTTGGAATAGAATTTAAAAAGACACTTAAAATTTAAGATAACTATATAAAATAAATTTTGTGTAGGAAGAACAATTTAGATTTATATAAATAAAAGTCAAGTTCAATTTAAGGTAATAAAGTAATAATATACATTTTTAATTTTGAATAATTTAATTTTTATTTTTCGTATTATTATTTAAGTTTTTGAATATTTTATATTTTGAATTTAATTTTTTTTAAAATCCAATAAGCTCTTAAACTTTTTAAAAAATCAATTTGACCCTCAAACTTAAAACAATTAATTTAGCTCACCTATCATGTCATCAGCCGCATCACCAGTCACTGTGGACTGTCATGTAAGCAATGTAGATCACCATATCAGCACTGTGAAGTGCCACGTCAGCATCGTAACTGTCAACATTGAGTGCAACAGAAATCGTTGGTAAAAGGATCATATTAGGTTCTTTTATAAGTTTGAGGGTCGCATTGAGTGCAAAAAAAATCGAAGGCCACATTAATTTTCTTGAACAAATACAAAGATCTCATATACCTTTTGCTTTTTATTTAAATAAACTCGATCCTATAAATTAGATAAAGTTAAAAACTCGTTGGATCTTATGCTTATTTGTAACTAGGGATGGCAAACGGGTACAATTTCGTGCATTTCGAACCGTACCCACTCCAATTGGGGTGGGATGGGTATAACTTTAGTGGGTAATGGGAGGGTGTGGATTTAGAAAGTGGTACACGTCGTGGGTAGTGGGCCCTTACGCACCCCACATCCGCCCACATCTGCTCGCCCACTAAATACCCATTAGATTTTGGATCATTATGAATTTAGGTATAATTTTAGAGACTAATTTATAAATCTTAATATTGTATAAGATATAACTTATAATTTAACCAAATATTAGGTATAATTTTAGAGACTAATATTATGTTTCTTAATGGATGTGTTTGTTTTATGTTTGTTGCTTATGTATAACTTAAGGTTGCTTTCAGGCAGGTATAGCCGGATACATCTCTAGTTGGGTAGTGGGTGTGGGGATGGATTGAGAATGTACCCACGTGGACGGGTGTGGATTTGAAAAATTTTACCTATCATGGGTGGTGGGCGGGTGGTGGATTTAAAAATATTAGGTGGGTATAAGGATAGGAGAGAGATATCCGCACCCAACCCGCCTGTTTGCCATCCTTATTTGTAACCTTAGTTGGCTTTAAAATGTTTATAGATTTTAAATAGCAATCGATAGTTTTATAAGTAAAGCTTTAAAACCATTTAATCACGTGGGTTGATTAGGAAAAAAGTGATAGTTGACTAAGGTGGACATTGGCATAATGATATGTGAGTAGGGATGGGCATGGGTCAGGTTTGAGTCGGGTTTCGGCCAATCCGACTCGACTTGAAAATTTACATCCGTCACCCGACTCGATTTGATCCGAAAAATATATACCATCCACCGACTTGAACCTGAACCAATTTTTTGAGATAAAATATGAACCTAATCCGACCCAAAATAATAAAAATATTATTTTATTCGATAAAAATAGTGATTTAATTTTAAAAAATAATATATAAAGGGGTATTATTATAATTGTTCCTAAATATATAAGGTAAAATTATATTTTTTTTCTGGGTCAGGTCAGGTATATTTCACCCTAAACTCAAATCCGACCCGACCCGATCTAAACCCGGATTTAAAAAAAAAAACTTGATCCGATCAGGTCTAGTTGGAACTCGTCGAGTTCATGCTCATCCCTATATATGAGACTCCTAAACAATTCAAAAAAAAAGTTAAAGGTAAATTATACTAGTGACACCTAATTATAATCCATTTTCATTTTGATCATCATTTTTTATATTATTCAATCAGGCCACTTAACTATTTAAATGCATTCAATCAGGCTACTTATCGTTAACATTTAACGATAGTGCTAACGTGAAGTTAATAAAATTGATATAATTATACACTTGGTCCTCAATATTTATATTGTTTCAATTTGGTCATAATTTTAATTTAGTTTAATAATTTAACTTCCAATTAGATGGTGACATGGTCACTAATAGATTGGAAGATATATTATTAATTTTAATAATTTAATTTTTTTTATATCCAATAAATTAGATCAACTGAGGGGTTTAGCCCTTTCAATTTTCTTCTTTACATAAGTGGTCTTTAGTTGGAAACCTAATATAAAAACGTTGTAAAACCAATTGAGGGGTTTAGCCCAGTGGTTCAAATGCTTCTAGGAGCAACCCAAGTTGCTGGTTTGATTCCCCTTCTTGTATATTATTTCTTCAAATTATTTTGTATCAAATAAGGTGGTGACATGTGACATTATTCTTTTAAGTACAAAATAAAGTAAATTAAATAAGTAAAATAAATAAATATCATCCAAACCAATAGTGACAAATTTCACCATCTAATTGGAGGTTAAATTTATTAAATTAAACAAAATTATGACCAAATTGAAATAATGTATAAATATTGAGGATCAAATTATGACCTCTCTAGGCAACATATTACTTCTTTTAACACCAATTAATTTTTTATTTTAACCCAACTTGAAGGGGAAAATAATTCATAACTGAGTGTTTGTTTCAGGTGGTGGAAAGATTTAGATTTTGCTTCAAAACTACCGTTTGCACGAGATAGATTGGTGGAATTATACTTTTGGATGTTAGGAATGTACTTTGAGCCTATGTACTCTTTTGCCCGAGAGATACTAACAAAAGTAGTATCTCTGTTTTCAATTATGGATGACATATATGATTCATATGGCACATTTGAAGAAATTCAACTCTTTAGGGATGCAATTCAAAGGTCAATAACTTATATATATTAAAATTTAAATTTTAGTATTTTATAACATTTTAACTTAAATCTTAGATCTTTATTTGTTTTTCAGGTGGAATGATGATTGTGTAGATCGACTCCCAGATTACATGAAACTGTTCTACAAGCCATTATTAGATCTCTATAAAGAAATTGAGGAGGCGATGACAAAGCAAGGACAATCATATCGTGTCAAACATTCTATAAACACAGTAAATTTACAACCTATCTCAATTTTATGATATTTACATTAGTAAATATGAACTAACCCCTTTTATACATATACCAAGTTAAGGGAGTAAATTATTAAACCCATATGTCATTGTTTCTTATTTTGTTGGTTTTCAATTTACAGTTTAAGCAGCTGAGTGATAGTATTTTGCTGAGGCTAAATGGTACCATGAAAACTACGTACCAACGATGGAAGAATATATGAGGGTCGGAACTATAACTGCTGGCAATATTGCAGTAAGTGTCACATCGCTTGTTGGAATGGGAGATGTACCGACGCCAGAGATTTTCAATTGGGCATCTAATTACCTAAAATCTTTGTTGCTTGTGCCATTCATGCTCGCTCATAGATGATATTGCTTCACACAAGGTACTTTTCTTTAAAATAAATAAATAAATTGTAAGAGTATTTCAATTAATTTATGTGTGTAGTTTGAGCAAGAAAGAGGGCACTGTGCCTCGGTTGTTGAATGCTACATGAGAGAACATGGAGTTTCAGAAGTAGAAGCACGCAGCGAATTGAATAAGCAAGTGGAAGATGCATGGAAAGATATGAACTATGAGATGATATTTAGTGAGACGTCTAAGGTTGTTCCAATGTCGGTTCTTACACGAGTTCTCAATTTTTCAAGGGGCTGTGAGTTCATTTATAAGGCTGGAGATGGGTACACACATGTTGGAAAAACTACAAAAGAGGGGATCACTTCATTGCTCATTGATCCAATCTCAGTCTCGGCTTCAGGAAATTAAGAATTTGCTCATTGATTATGCTTAGTTGTGTTTACTCTTTTCCTCCATATATAATTAGGAGGTTTTTAACGAGACACACAAATAAATTTAGATGTATCATTTAAATCTTTCTAATAAATCATATTACCGATCGAGTAATCCATGTTATGATACATGTTTGTGGTACTTCTACGTGTCGTATACTCGTATTATGTTTGAAATATTAAATAAATTTGTTTCGTAATTATGAAACGATGGGTCAAGGAAGCAAGAAAGAAATGTGTTTCGTAGTTGTGAAGTGAATGTATATGATAGTTTGTATCTCAATAGTCACTTTACTGTTGAAAATTCAATGTTGAATTTGGTAAGGTAGTCGGCTGCTTTGATTATTTTCAAATCTGGCTGCAAATTTGATTTGAAAAAGGATGCTAAGTGGCATCACATGGGCTATTGAATTTTTTATTTTTGTAATAGGGTTAATTATATTTAGTCCCTACACACTTTAGGGTATTTATAAGATTAGTTCCTAAGCTTCATCTATAAATATCCTAGCTTATTTAGCTTTAAAATTATCCCAAAAATCATTTCATTCTCCAATACTAGAGAGTTTCTTGTGAGTAGTGAGTGTTTTGTAAACACCTGTAAATTTTCTCTCTATAGTAAAAGATCTGCAGCAATCCGAAGACGTAGGCACAATTGGCTGAACTCCGTTATCAATTTCGGGTATTATTTTTTCGCTTTTATTTCGCATTCTCACTAATCTGGTTATAGGAAAATTACTTGTTTACTCGTTTATTTCCTAACATTTACAAAGTGTTTGTGTGCAAATATATTCGGTCTCTGAACCGAACCTTGTTCAATCTTCTCTGTTATTTCTTTTTGAAATATAATTAAGCTCTTATTAGAAACCCCTCCAATCTCAATCGAATTGAGGCTCGATCTAAAACAAATAAAAGAAAAGTTCACAAACATATTGAAACAACCCATTTTAAGATAACACTCGGTTTCAATACGTTTGATGTGCTCGTGGTGCATGACATTCCCCATTATAAAATGACCTGATTTCAGTATTTTTGTGTACTCAAAGCCAAGCTCTTGTAAAATTCCAGACAATCGAGAAAGTTCCGAAATTGTTAAATGTTGCGGAATGCGATCATCGAATAGAGTAAAATCACAATTGATAATTTTAAAAAATAACAATGAAGATAAAACAGACACATATTTTACGTGAAAAATCTCTAAACTATATAGCGTAGAAATCAAGGACAGAGTAGAAGAATTTCATTATAAGAAAATTAGAGTTTAGGCAGAAAACAACTTTCGGTTTCTCGGTCGACAGTTGAGGCAGAATATCGTAACTTAGCTGATGCCACTTCTGAGGTGCTTTGGGTTAAGGCAGTGTTGGATGAAATGGGAGTTACACTACCCAGGCCCCAATTATTTGGTATGATAACACTAGCACGGTTGCTACGACTGCTAGTCCTGTTCTGCATGTCAAAGTTAAGTATGTAGATGTCTATTTTGATAGAGAAAAGGTGGATAGTCGCCTGTTGAGAGTTAATTATGTGCTAGCTCAGTTCCAAGTGGCAGATGTTCTTATAAAACCACGGGTGGCTACTCGTTTCCAGGAGCTGCGGCAAAATTTGAATGCGATGTCTTGCAGCATGCTTAGTTTTTTTAGAAGAGAAAAAGTGGATAATGTTAAGAGGTGCTGTTTTAAGTAGTATTCAAGAGATTAGTAGGTGGTTTCAAGCCAACAGAGTTTGTTTGTGGTTGTGGCTGTTATGCCAGGTTGGTCTGCTTTGGGGTCAAACTTTTATTGTTGACTCCCTGGACTAAACCGGGACTATAAAAACGAACCTCGTACGAGGGAGAAATTATTTTATAGACCCGGCTCACTACGTTATCCATGGTCCCAGTAAATCACATCCATTAATTTTAAAATCACTTCTATATAACTGCCACTATTTATTTACACGGAGGAAAGAAGTGAAGATTCACATTAGAAAAAATAAACTGAAAAATATTATTGATTGGGACCACGGATGACGTGGTGAATCGGGTTGATCAAATAATTTTTCCGTACGAGGGGTTCAAATGACTCTTTGATGGCGTTGTACAGGTTGACCTGGGAAGTTGTGCTTGGTGATTCGTGTAACACCTATATCCTGTTTACGTCCCCGTACATTAGTCATAGATATCACATGTCTTTTAAAACGTTTCTGTATTGAAAACCAGCAAAATTTTGTTTCTTTAAATAATATGATTTAACAATATAATATAATATAATATATACTTCTACTATAACATGTTTCAAACTCTCATTAAAATATTACAGACTTTTGTTTACATGTATACATGCCAACTAGAAATTTAAAACAACATTAGGATGTCATTACTGACACCGATAAGTAGTATTCGATGATTGATGCCAAGCTCAGCTCCTTATTACACTTGCTTCTTTTACCTACGCGTGAAAATCATCTCACGCTAAGTATACGTTTAGTGAGATATAAGAAAATTAAGTTAAGTATTTTAAAAACATAAGTAAGCCATAAAAGATCAAAATACGAATTAAATCGTATAAAATATATAAACGCATAAAACTAACTTGATAAGCCAAGTTTCTGTCATATAACATGTGAAATATTATTTCATATGCATAGCATATTTATCAGCCTCAAAATTCATTATGCATAGCATATTTATCAGCCAATGTGTTCAAAATTCATTCACAGCCCAATGTATGACAAATGAGAATGCAAGGTACCCAATTCGCACTGAAGTGCTCCACTAAAGTATAGGTACTATAGTATACAACGACATTATACTAATATCTCTATATAGTAATTCAAAAACTTATTATGAACACCATCAATGCACACATAGTATCATAGTACACATAGTACTACTCCAAGTACACAAAGTAAAGGTACAATAACACAATAATGCGTTAAACAAAATTGATTGATAACCGCCTTATTCATGGTACTAACAAGTGCTCATTATGAACAACATCATTTCACACATAGTGTTATAGTACACAAAGTACTACTCCAAGTACACAATGTACCGGTACAATAACGCAATAATGAATTAAACAAAATCGATCGGTAACCACCTTATTCTTACTATAGAGTTCGACGGTGAGGTCGTAAAATTTGATGTTTACAAAGCAATGATATATCCATATAACATTGCTAGCATAAATTTTATTGATGTTATTGAACATGCCTTTGATGAGTTTGTGGAAACTAACTTTGTTGAAAATTTGTACAGGAAATTGGAGGATAAAGAAGATGAATCTAGGGAGTTGAAAAATATTTTGTTTGTTAAATCATATTTGATCTTAACTTCTTCAAAAACTAAATTGTTATCTTCCATTTTGCAGGTATCAAAGATAGAGTCAATACAATTGTCAGAATATTTAAAGAACTCATCTTTTGGTGAAAACGATGTATTACCGGCCATTATTTCGGACAAGCTTCCAAAGCTGAGAAAGATCCCAAAAAAACCCTATGAGAATGTTCAAAGCTACAAGGATAAATTTAAGGAACTTTATGATCGTAGAATTTCTCGTAAGAAATTTCTTCATTGGAAAAAGAGTATGAAGTGGAGGAAGCATCCCTTACAGAACCTATAGTCTGAACCAGGTCGTTGAGCTAACGACTGATAAGTCATAATTATATACATTTTTTTATGTTTAATTCCTTTATATCATTATTATAATTTAAGCTAAATTGTTGAAATTATGTTTGTTTTGATTTAGGAGGTGAAATACGGATACAATGGTGAATATCAGCTCGAAAACATGTTTTTAGCCTTCTATGTGAGAATCAAATCTTTTGGAAGAATGTGAACTTGAGTAGAAGACTATCTTCGATAAGGTGTGACCGCGCCTTATGAAGAACACACGACTGATTTCTGAGTTGGACAGTCCGACTTTTTGGAGTCAAATTCGGGATGAAACTCACTTTTATGGATATTTTCATTATTTTGGAAGTATCTGGCCAAGAATCAATCTCTATTTTTATTAGGAACTTTATTTTAGATTTTTTTATTTGATTTAGACTTTATTAAAAGGGACCTACCTTTCTTTTAGGGTTTTGGCTCTCTATATAAAGAACTCATTAGCCTCCTTAGGGGGGATCAATCTATCTTTCAATAGCACAAATTTTTCTTCTCCCTTGCATTTCTATTCCACCATGAGTGGCTAAGCTGTTATTTCCTATTCAAGGGTGAAAGGATTTCATAGTAATTTTGTGAGGATTGTGCTAAACTAGTATTTCTCCTTCAATCCAAGTAATCATTATTTCTTGTTCTTATTTAATGAATTCTTGATATTGATTAAATTGACGACTTAATTCGATATTGAGTTTCTATCGCTTATCACAAGTAGCAAGGGGTAAGTCTCATGATTTGTGTTTGTTATAACTTACTATCTGAACTTTGCATCCTGCATGATAGTCTCTGAGGAAATAAACTTATGAAATTAATTGATTTTGTTTTAGTCGTTACCACAATTATTAATGCTAACATTCATGGTAAGATTTGATCTGAATGTTTATTGCAAATGAGTAGGCTTGTCAATTATAAAAGGGGAACCCATACTTGTTACGGTTCCGAGAAAGTGATTAATTACTTGGATATTGAAAAAATGGATCTTTTAAGCCTATGATAAAAATTATAGATCGGATGAAGAACACGCCTTTGAATTGGAAGTTTGGTAAGAATTGATTTTTGTTATTTTATTTTCAGCTTTATTTCTGGATTTTAGTTTCACCAAACCCCCCAGTTTACTTTTATTGCTTTAACATTTTTTTGTGAAAGATGGGTACTTTGTATTGATAAGGATACAAGGTACACCACCCCATGGACCTCTAGATAAAAACAACACTGCCTGAGAAACAGGAGACCTCGGAGATACATCTAACCGGCTGTTATGAAAACAACTACAAACGAAGAGAAAAATCAGCCTTGAAAAAACACTAAATGAAAAATAGCAAAGCAGCTACCCACAAACCTCATGCGAAAAGGCACCAAAGAACTGCAACCAAATCACTTGATAAAATAGCGACCTCGAATTAATAGCTAAAACCCTTCTGAAAGATAAAACAACGAAACACCTCAGAACCCAAATTATAGCACCACGGTCGAATCAGAATCTTCAAACGGAACCACCATATCAGGACTACCAACCTATAGTCCAAGAAGCATGCCTACAGATACTGCCTCATGCGCTTCAATAAAAGCTTCAGCCCACCTTTGTTTTAAAACAAAATCTAAAATAGAAGTACCAGATAATTTAGATAGTAAAATATCCGATTTCTTTAAATTAAATTTCTTCAATGCTCGATCTCTTCTTCTTTTCTCAGCTTTTGATAGTACTTTGCCCTGAATGTCCAACATAGATCCAAATTTATTCAACTTCAAAATTTTGGTAAAAGACCGATACGGCAATACGAACGACTCCTCATAATCACACCCGACAGAAGACTTAGATAAAGTCCCCTCAGTCGTTTCTCGGTATGACACTAACTCAATATTCGGACTATCGACATTACTCATGCCAAACGACCCAACCTTTGGCGTACAAGGGCCAACAAAAGCATTCTCCTCGTGCCCATCATCCAATGCCACGGCTAAACACTCATGCGATATATTAAATACCTCCACTGCATTTAAAACGTTCTCCTCGTGCTTAACATCCACTGCCTCAATTGAAGCCCCATGCAAAGATTTAAAATCCTCCACCACGTGCGACACACCACGCCTCAAACAATAACTTGCATTTGCCACCTTGTTCATGCACTCAGCAGAATGAGATAAATCCACTTGTAATTTTAAACCAACAGTGCCAGCACTAAACTCCACTAGTGGGTCCACATGCATCGAAAAAGTAATATTATCATGCCCATTATCCAAAGCCACAACTGACCCTCCTGCCTTAAATTAAATTCCTCCGCTGCATCTGAAACAATCTCCTCGTGCTCGTTTTCCAAAGCCGCATTTGGACCCTCAAGCAAATTATTAAATTCCTCCACTACGTACGAGATACCGCTCCTCTGACAAACACCTGCATGCGCCACCTTAATCGAACCCTCAGCAAAATGCGAAAGTGCCGTTTGAAAATTGAGACCCTCTATACCAGCTCTACACTCCACTAACGGATCCGCAGGCTTCGAAAAAGCTAACTCCACATCATTAAAAATGCCGCTCCTCTGACAGAAATCAACATACGCAGTTGCCCCATGACGATCTGCCTGGTAATCAGATTCCTTAGCCCATACCTCTTCGAAGCGAGAATCCACCATTGCTTTCTCAGCAACTGAATACCACGGACCTTCATATGCACACAAGCCATCTTTGAACTCTCTGAAATCTTGATGAACATCCTCCATATGCGTGGAATCAGGAATAACAAGGGAAGTCTCTCCAGCACGTAACTTCAGGAGATTTGTCTGACAAGACATCCACAAGTTCACGTTCTAATGAAACCGGGTAAGCACCAGCTTCTTCAGACAACAACGAATCTACCTAGATAGAATCTGGGTTAAAACAAGGTTCAAACTCTAAAACAAATACTGTAAAAGACCTATCCCCGACTTGCAATTCAACAGATTCCTCCACTATAGTTCGATGATCCGTGATAACCTGGAGCAAAGCCCTATCAAAGGAGCCAGGATTTAAAGTTCATTCTTCTATGGAAATAAGCTCACCCTATTTTCCTGCAATGTTTCTGAAAGTTGAAGTTCCCCACACAAATGGTGGGATCCCTTTACACGATAACCAAGCCCGTCGACTGCAGCATCGCACATTTTCCGACCACACTTTCACTTTGACAAATAGGTTTGCAGCGCCTCAATATGGTTTTTAAGCGTAAACTTCAAACTCTCTTTATCTTCAAAGATGATAAGAATAGCTAATCCGCTTAATCTCATTATTCTCGGACGCAAAATGCCTACTTTATGCATTATAGCAGCCAGCTCTTTCATTTTAATAAATTTACTGCACCAACCAACCAAATTATCTTTCAGAGTACAAAGCTTATCCTCATCAATAACACCAACAATGGGAACCTCATTAACAACCTCCACTCTACACTTGGCCACATCTGGTTTTGAACCAGAACATTTTTCCTCCAGAAAGCTTCACGAGGATGATATCTTGCCATAAAGACTCTAACTATGTTTCCATGAAGCCTAGATCTATCAGCGCGAAGGATAGCCTTCCTCGCATCCTCCAATCTGGCAAAGCGAACAAAACCAAACCTACTTCCATCCTTACTTCTTTTATTAGGAATGAAAGAGTCAACCACCTCGCCATAATTATCAAAAGTAAGCCAAAGACCATGATGATGAAGAAAATCTGGAATGTTGAAGATGATAATCGTAACACGTTCTTTCCCAACGGTTGAGATTCTAATTTCAGTTATCTTGGGATTTGATCTGATCTCGTTATTACTACAAGTTAGTTTAGTAAAATCAGTTTTTATTTTGTAGGACTTCGACAACCCTATCAAAATTGGCACCGTTGTCGGGGAGCTATTTTAGTTTCTCATTGTTTTATTTTATTTTTTATTTTAACTTTTATTTTTTTTTTTAGGAAGTTGAAGAAAGAATGGAGAATAGGAATGCATCACTTTTCTTAATTTTGAAGGTGATTTTGAGTTAAGATATAGTTTAATTCACTTCCTTTTTTCGTGGACATATAGGTGAAGATCCTTATAAAAAACATTTGAAGGAATTCCACATTGTATGCACTGGAATGAAATCACATGGAGTCACCGATGAACAAATTAGTTTAAAGACTTCCTTTTTCATTAAAAGATCAAGCAAAAGATTGACTCTACTATCTACCATCCGGATCAATTATGACATGAAATGGGATGAAGAGCCTATTTTTAGAGAACTTCTTTCCCGCGTCTAAGGCCGCAAACATTAGAAAAGAAATCTATGGCATTACGCAACTCACCAGTGAGACATTATACGAGTATTGGGAGAGGTTCAAGCGATTATGCGCCAGTTTTCCTCATCATCAAATCCCAGACCAGCTTCTAATCCAATATTTCTATAAAGGATTGTTTCCAATGGATAGATGTATGATTGATGCAGTGAGTGGTGGAGCTTTAGTGAACCTCACGCCTGAAGGAGCCAATGATTTAATTTCGAACATAGCTAAAAATTCCCAACAATTTGGTACAAGAATGAAAAAATATGTTAACCAAGTCAGTGAGGTAAGAATTAATTCTCTTGAAAATAAAATTTATGACTTGACTACTTTGGTTCGCCAAATTGTTGTAGGAAGTACATGAAGAAATGCTTTAGGTGAAATATATAATCAACCCAAAGGAAGAACGATCATTTTTCTAATCATTACAACCCAAGATGGAGGAATCATCTCAATCTAAGTTATAGGAAGCAAGGAGGACAACAAAGATACAACCCTCAAAATTTTGCTAGATCAGCTCAAGCACCGACCCAACATCAATCCTCAAATTTAGGTATGTCTTTAGAGGATATATTAAAAGCCTAGCTAACTCTATTCATGCATTTCAACAGAAAATGAGGACGAGCATTCAAAGCTTGGGAATCAAATTACTCAATTGGCAACGTCAGTTGGTAAATTGGAATCCTAAAATTCTATAAAATTGTCCTCACAAATGGAATTGAATCCGATAGAGAATTGTAGTGCAATTTTCTTGGTGATCTAAAAAGAAATTCCTTCGGATTTGATTCCACCTAAAAGATTCAAGAGAAGCAAAGATGAGAAAATCAAAACTCAGTCCAAAGTTTCACCAAATGTAACATTCGATCCTTCATTATCTTTTTCATCTCACACTTCTTTGCCTCTATTTCCTAACAGATTATCTAAACCAAAGGAAGGTGAGAATAAAGATATCTTGGATACATTGAGGAAAGCTGATATTAATATTCCACTAGTGGATGCTATCAAGCAAACTCCTAATTTATCCTTGTACCCGATCGTTCCTATATTTATCCTTTTGGAGTTGTTGATGTGAAGAGCCTGATTTTTCCTGTAGATTTTCACATCTTGGGAATAGAAGGTAATTTATCCTCACAATCACCTTCAATGTTGTTAGGAAGACCATTCATGAAGACATCAAGAAAAAATATCAATGTAGATGAGGGTACTTTGTCTGTGGAGTTTGGTGGAGAGCTTGCAAAATTTTATATTCATGATGCAATGAAACGTCCTAATGATTTAAAATCTCCTTATCAAGTTGATATGGTTGATTCAATTGTGCAAAATACCTTTTCTGAAAAAAGACATTGAATGCGAATTGAAAGTATGTGCACAAGCTAACCTCGAAGACAATGAGACTGACTTCGAAGAAATATTTTCAATGTCATCTCTTGAACAACTAAATTTAGATGCTAACAAAATGTTTCTGCTACTGTGCAGGCCCAAAAATTGGAAGATTTACCTGACCACCTGAAATACATATACTTAGGTGAATAGGATACATTACCGATAATAATCGAAAAAGGACACACAACTGAACAAGAGGAGATTTTAGTTCAAATCTTAAAGGAGCATAAAGCCCATCGAGCGATTCAATGATTCGATATGGACCTAGATAAAGCTGGAATGTCAAGGGTATTGCAATTACAAGAATTAGAGGAGCTTTGTTTGAATGTTTGTGAGAAATTAAGGATCTATAAGGAAAAATCCAAATTATTTCATAACACCATGCTTATTGAGAATCATTTTGAGATGGTGGAAATTAAAAGCTCAGACCAAGACAAAACCTTCAAGGTGAATGGCCATAGATTGAAAATATTCCACAAAGGTGATATTGTCCCATATCTCATTGATCCTCATTTGGAGTTACCAACTTATATCAACGAATGAACAATTCATCGTAGCCATGTCTAGCATAAAGACGTTTAACAATTAAGCTACTAGGATGCAACCCAATTTATCGCTTTATTTTTTAGTTTATTTTATTTTATATTTACCTTTTTTTAGTTTGATTTTTTTGGTAGATACCTATTTCGAACAAGATGTGACCACGCTTTATTGATATCTGTCTACTGATTTTGATTCTCACAAATTTTATTTTTGGACAGATGACTGACTAGAATAAGGCATGGCCACGTTCTACTGAGGATGGAGCACTGAGTTTGTCCCAGTTTTATGAAGTCGAGAAACATTATGAAGTTGCATTTTTTATCGTCCATCACCTTAAATCATCTCAGTCCAACTTGCTTGCACATCAGGGGGTTTTCTTTTTCTCTTCCATTTCTTTTGTGAGCAATTTATTTTCCAATACATTGAGGTAAATGTAGGGATCCAGGTATGGGGGAGATGTTCATATATGATTTCATTTTGTGAATATTGTTTTCATTTAAGATTGTGAAACTTTGACTTTTCTTTCAAAAAATTTCGCTCTCTTTTTTAAAATTATTTTTCTCGTGCTTGAATTTTGGTGTGATTTGATCCAATTATGATGACTTTTCTTTTGAATTCTTGAATCTTGCTTAATATCTTAGAATACTTTTTAAGTTCTGAATACATTATGGTTTGGATTATAATCCATGAAAGAGATGAACATGATTAGTGTGTTCTTAAAAATGTTTGACGGCATCTCATGAGTTTATTAGTTGAAAAGTGTACTAGACTTGATGGAAAATACACACTTTGGTGAGATTTCGAGCCTAAGAGCAATTCATTATATTTTGCTCATTTTTCTTTTTGATGAGTGTGTCGAACATAGTTTGTTTATTCTAGAATTTGCTTGTGAATGCATTTTGAGACTACATTTTTGGATTGATGCTTTAATATGATAAGGGCAATTAGGTTTAACTCATTTATCAGACATTCAAAAAGCTTATACATATGTTTTTCCCCTATTTAGCCAATTGAGCCTATTCTCCATTTTTCCTTGTTTTACCACATTTTGACCCAAAGCCTTTTCTTGTTTGTTATCCCTACTTTTTGTGCCCTTTTCAAGACAAGATGAAAATGTTGTTCCAAAAAAAAAACAGAAAAAATGTGAAGTTTGTTTCTTGAAGGAATTAATATATTTGGAGATTAGTTTGAAAACAAATAGCAATTAAATGTTGAATCTCCAAACTCTTTAGTTCTTGAATGAGATGCGAGAATAAATTTCAAGAAGTTTGAAGTATGTTTGATGTTGTGATGTGGACTTTGATATCATCTCTTGTCTTGATTGTGAAACCTTCATTTTTTTATCTTTTACCACACACTTACCTAAGCCTCGTTACAACCCCTGGAAAATACCTTTTGATTTTTGCATCACATTCATATACAGTGGTGGAGATTTCATTCATTTGCAAGCTTATGGCAATATCGTGCTATGTTTTGATCTTGAAAGTTAATTCACCTTAAATACTTCTAGAGTTTTGAGTGAAACCTTGTGAGGGTGTTAAGTCTTGTTTCACTTCATATTGGTGGATTAATGAGATGTCTTGATTTTGTTTCAAGTTTATCCTATTTATTCTCATTCACTTAATTGTAATTATGGTTGGAATCCTTGATTTGTGCTTAACTTTATCAATATTTTGGGATATTAAGTGACATGAAAAGAAGGTAGATGGAGGAGTTGGTATGTTGAATTGAAGTATGCTTGAGGACAAACATGATTTAGGTGTGGGGGAATTTGATAGGTCATAATTATATACATATTTTTATGTTTAACTCCTTTATACCCTTATTATAATTTGAGTTTTTTATGGAAAGCCTCTAGTTTTATTAAAAATAGAAAATATCCAAAATTACAATTAAGATTTACGAGTATAACCGTAAATGTAAACTAAGTTACAATTAGGACATTTTCTTATAACAATTGACACAAAAATTGGCCACCTAGATCACACAAGGACCATAAAAGGAAAATGTTAAAACATGTTAGAAGTTAAGTTTGTTATTTTCTGTTTTAATTGTATCTAATTGACATTTAGTTAGTTAGATTGAAATTGTATATATATATTTGTATTATTTCTTGTAACATCCCAAAATACGGGTTAGTGACCAAAATTGTAAAATTTCAGAATATGGATATTAAAGTAGAATAGTTTAATAGTTTAATGATTTGTTCGGAAATATTTCCTAAAAGTTTATAGTAATAATCCAAAGAATTAAAGGGCAAAATGGTCATTAGACTTGAAATTATAATTAAATGATATATATATATATATGGATAAGGATGGGAGATTTTTTCCAGAAATCTCTTCTTTTCTTCTTCATTTTCTCTTCTCCACGTGTGAAGCCAAGCAAAGGTAAGTTTTCTCTTGAGCTGATTATGTGCTGAAATTTAAGTTTAGTTTTGATTATTAGATGCTAAGTAAGATTAAGGAAGGATTAATTTGCTTTAAAACAACAAAATGAAGAGTTTATGAGGATTTAAAGATTTGAAGTTTTTGAATGAAATATTGAAATTAAGTTTATATTGAGAATTGGAAGTTGAATTTGACTTGTCATCAAGTCAATTAAGGGATAGGAAGTGTTAGAATAGGAATTTGAACATGTTGCAAAACTAGTATAATTTTTGCAATTTCATAGGAATGACTAGATTTGAAGTTAAAGAAGTGATTAGCGAATAGAAATAAGTTTAAGTATGTGTATTAAAGTTAAGAGTATTAAAGGAAGTGAAATAGGAAGGTTTAAGCTGAAATAATGTGATTTTCGAGCTCAAAATGAGATTTCTGGGCTAGGGGAATCGGTACCCATTCAAGGGGAATCGATTCCCCCTCAAACGAATATGAATTCCAGAATGCTAGAGGGGAATCGATACCCCCAGGGGGGGGGAACCGATTCCCCCATAATAAAAAAAAAGAAGAAAGAAGAGAGACTAAACTATTAATCTCTTAAATTGGTAGGATATTAGAGGTTAATTTCAAGACTTGGGCATCTGATAATCATCTTGAAAATTATGCTTATGTAGATATTGAACGTGACTTTGCTTCAAAGTAAACGAAGGGTTAGAATTGATTCAATTCAAACAAGGCTAAGGTGAGTGCATGTGCATAACAAGATTATGTTAGTATATTCAGTTTTAGAACTGCGATAAGTCTAGATTTAATATCTTGATACATGATTCATTCAATATTATTAAATATGATAGGAATTCATACCATATCATTATGGGATATACTATGCAGATTGTGGTAAGTCTATGTTCCAGATTAGAGCTTATATGAATGAGTTACGAGATATCTATATTAAGTATATGAAGTGTGTGTGCTGTTTGTTATGGTTTATATGTATGAATGAGAATATGTATTGACATGTTACAATATATATATATATTATATGAGTTGTGTAAATATGTAGATAAATGTGTTAAATATGTGAAATAGTTAAAATGTTTGATATGATTTCATAAGAATATGAAATAAGAAGTATGAAAAGGACATAAGAAAGAATATGAAATAAGAAGTATGAAAAGGACATAAGAAAGAATATGAAATATACAGAATATGAATATGAAATCATATGAGGGATGATATATGTATGTATGTATGTAATGGTTATATGAAAAGGTATAGGTAATAAGATGATCATATGAACATGTGATAAAGAGCTATAGAAAAGAAAAATGTGATATGATGTATGAATATGTAATAAGGTAAAAGACAATGCCATGATATGAGTTATGAGAACTGTAAGTATAGTTGGTATGCCAAGAGTCACAGAACTACCTATGTCTTTCGAGACATATGGACAGTATACCTATGTTCTAAGGAACATATGGATAGTTACCGAGGATCTTTATGACCTCTGGACAGTTACCGAGGATCTTTATGACCTCTGGATAGTTACCGAGGATCTTTATGACCTCTGGACAGTTACCGAGGATCTTTATGACCTCTGGATAGTTACCGAGGATCTTTATGACCTCTGGACAGTTACCGAGGATCTTTATGACCTCTGGATAGTTGCCGAGGATCTTTATGACCTCTGGACAGTTACCGAGGATCTTTATGACCTCTGGACAGTTACCGAGGATCTTTATGACCTCTGGATAGTTACCGAGGATCTTTATGACCTCTGGACAGTTACCGAGGATCTTTATGACCTCTGGATAGTTACCGAGGATCTTTATGACCTCTGGATGGTTACCGAGGATCTTTATGACCTCTGGATAGGTCCTTCGGAAAAATTCATGGAGCTGTGGGAACAGCATACGTGTGCACAATCTCATAATACTCGTATACCTTGGGTTCTCAATAGTGTATATGGGCTTAAATAAGACATAACGAGGATGTATATAGTTCTATCTTAATATGGTATTATTACGATTTATATTGGCTCATATGTGGTATAATAAATGATGGTATGATAGTATAATTGTGGTTGGATAGTAGACGACATGTTTATATTTTAATAATTCTTTATTATGTAATTATGCCTCACTAAGTCTATGACTTAGCGTGTAAGTGTTTTTACACGTAGGTTTCGAAGAGCAGGAGAATCAAGAATAGGAATTTGCAGATCAACCTATCTCTACTCAGCGATCAGATCAGAAGTAAAGTCACAGTAGGTATTTTGTATGTAGTGTGTTGGCATGTATGAACAGTGTTAGTTCAAATGCTCTGATTAGTTTTGTCTTGTTTTGGTAAACTCGTGTGCAGTGACAATGTTATTTTAATAAAAGTTTTAAATTTCATTGGTTTTCGTTAAAAGATTAAAGTTTGAAAAGTCAATGTGACACCTCAGACTTGTATCCGGGTCGGATACGGGTTGGGGGTGTTACATTTAATGGTATCAGAGCTACGGTTTAGTCGATTCTCGGCATAAACCGGAGTTCATAGTGTCTTAAAAAGTGTTCATGCCAACACAGTAGTAAGAACTTCTGATCTGATACGAATAATGAGTATGTTGTTTAGCTGATAGAAATGTTTGGTTATCTCTTATTAGATGTCCGGACAAGATAGCTCTCGGGGTGAAGCGAGAGATGATAGATTAGCTGAAAGTAGTAATTCACCTGCCCTGGCCAGGCAAGGTGAAGGACAGGCACCCTCTGGAGTGCCTGTACAAGATCAAAATGTATTTTTCAGGACGTTGGGCACTATTTTGACACGTTTCCAAACCCCTGCATCCTCAACGCAGAGGATTAATATAGCCAAAGAGTTAAAGGGATTAGGAGCTCCAGAGTTCAAAGGTGAAGCCGAAGAAGGTCCTGTTGTTGCGGACCTTTGGCTTAATGATGTAAAGATCATGTTAGAGGGACTCCACTGCTCTGATATGGAGAAACTAGATGGGATGGTCTCTTTGCTCCGTGGGCAAGCGAGAATCTGGTGGACGAATGTTATTCATAGGATGCCAAATGATTAGAAAACATGGTATTTGTTTTTAGAAGAGTTTAAGCACAAGTATATAGGAGATCAGTTCATCCGGGAAATGAAGCAAGAATTCTTGAATTTGAAACAGCTGAATCGCACTGTGTATGAATATGAGTGTGAATTCAACAAGTTAAGTCGATTCGCGGCCGAATTGATTCGGACAGAGAAAGAAGCATGTGAGTGGTTTGTTGAAGGACTACGACCAAGGCTAAAAGAGATGTTGATTGTTTTGAATTTGTCCTCGTTTCAGGAAGTAGTAAATCGTGCTAAAGCTCTAGAAAGAGCTCAGAACGAGCGGTTTGGGGATCAGAAAGCTCAATCTTCTAAAAGAACGGGGGCTTCGTCGAGCTCTGTACCACTCAAGAGAGGTAGAGATTCTGGGTTCCAATACCAAGTAAGGTCTGAATCAGTGGTATCCTCTGCTAGAGGATCAAATCAGATGAGAGCTAGACAGACTCAATTAGGAAAGTCTGGTGATGGAAGAGAACAACAGAGACACTGTCAGATTTGTGAGAGATATCATGGTGGGGCATGTAGAGTTGAATCTGGAGCCTGTTTTCGATGTGGGGAAATAGGACATTTCCTGAGAGATTATCCACTGGGTACAGGAAAGCCTGTGCAGTCGGAGCGATCTGCTTCGATATCCCAGAGAGGACGGGGTAGAGGTAGAGGAAGAGGAAGAGGTCAGACAGAATTTTCTACTCAACAGGAAATGCGCTCTACGGCTAGAGTATATAATCTCAATATCAGTGAAGACAATGAGGATCCAGAGATAATAGCAGGTATCTTCTATTGTACAATAAATGCTTTATGATATTAGTTGATATGAGCTTGTATAACCATATAAGAGTAGAGAATGGGTAAGAGAATTGAGAATTTAGTTAGAAGGCATTTTTTTAGAAATAGTGTAGTGACAATTCCATTAAGGTACAGTGCTAAAGTAAACAAGATATGTTAGAAGTATTACATTCGAATTCAGGGAATTTAATTCTCTGTTAATCTAATGGAGATATTTCTCAAGGGATAAGTAAGGAGATAATGATTTATAAAGGAGTATATATAGGGAATTAAATGGAAAAGGGGTGTAAAGTGTGAATTATAAGTTGATAGGGGGTAAGGAAATGGTAGATAATGTTATGAAAAGATTGATTGATTTCGTAAAGTATACGTTTAATAACATTTGTAGAGGTTTAGGGTTGTATTCTGAGTTATAGAATGATGGAATAAGAGATTGAGTATGGTTATAAGGTAATTAGAAATGGATTGGGTTCTTTGGGAAGTGAAAGCAAATCATTCATTACAAATTGCAATGGGATAAAGTAGAGAAGGAGCATGAGAACATTGAAAGATATGTTCTTATCGATATGTGTAATGAAAATTCGAGGACGAATTTTCTTTAAAGGATGAGAGATTTGTAACATCCCAAAATACGGGTTAGTGACCAAAATTGTAAAATTTCAGAATATGGATATTAAAGTAGAATAGTTTAATAGTTTAATGATTTGTTCGGAAATATTTCCTAAAAGTTTATAGTAATAATCCAAAGAATTAAAGGGCAAAATGGTCATTAGA